TGCTCATTAGTTTCTCCTCTCTAGCTGCAGCTGTGCCAGTCAGTGAGATGGCCCGCTGTAGTTTTGGTTGGAATGAAACCCTTCATGCTTCCTGGCACTTCACAGCACATGTTTGGTGAGACAAGAGTTTGGCAGAGAGCACGGTGGACTCACCTAGTCCCAGCACCAGAGTGGACCACATGTTGATGTTCAGCATCATGTAGTTGGCACTGGTCTGGAAGCGAGACCTCATGTGATCCTGGGCCACACCAGTCAAACCGTCCAATGTCAGGGAGACCAGCTACAACATAGCGAAACACAGCACGAGACAAATGTCATGGAAATGTCACAGTAACCATGGCTTCAGGAGGGAGGAGCAGATAGATTGGCAGCAGATGGGACTCAAGTAGGAATGCACCAATTCAACTGCCAAACATCTACAACCATTTTTATCTGTTGTGTTAAATCAAATTTATAGCAGCTAACTGTTTTGTGTTGGATTTACATTTGATGTGTTCATTTATGCTTCACTAGACACATATTTCTGTTCGACTATAAAAATGAACTTTTTATTGAGTGCTTTAGTTGTACAGCAGGAAAAAAGGCTTTTAAAGCAGTTATTTTTAGATTATATCACATGTTGTTTTATAAATTGGTTGAATTTTACATTTTATTGTAATAAAGTGCTGAGTGACTTTGAAATGGTTCAGTTTTTTTTTATGATGAGGATGTGTTCGTTTCCTTGGCAAAAACAGGAAATAAATAACAGAAAAAACAAAACAAAAACACTAGTATCGGCTATCATCAAAATCTAAATGTGGTTTTAAATGTCTCTCAGCACAGAATTTCACAATGGGTGCATTCCTAGATACAAGCAGACTGGATGGAACATAAAGCTTTTAAACTCACCAGCAGAATCTCTCCAAACCCAAAGACATGGTCGTCTGCGACTGAGCTCTTATTGGGTTTGTAGAGGAACAACGCCACTCCGCTCACAATAAGCAGCACACACAGATACTTAGCCAGCGGGTACCTCTTCCTCAGTATCGTCACACCGAGGATCATCACTGCAACCACACAACAGCAGCATGATGGACATTTTCTTTAAGCCATGAATATCAGGGTGACATCTCTAGGATTTGAAGTAATCCTGCCCTGATACAAAATGTCAAGCCTTCCCCCCTGAGAGTGGAAAATATGGATTGTGAAAGTGTGTGTGTGTGTGTGTGTGTGTGTGTGTGTGTCTGTCTGTCTGATTGTATGTGTGTGTGTGTGTGTGTGTGTGTGTCAAGAGATAACAAGCGGTGAGATATAACATTCATGTACAAACAGAACAAACTTTAACCTGCCATGTGTGCTCATAACTGCTCACATGTGAAAAGATTGTGCTTACCCAATATGTACTTGATCAGTTAAGAGAGCTATCAGATTATCTCTTATTTGTAATGTACTATACTATATATACACGAGGGTATTCTGACTTGCTTGTTTAAATTATATACATCAACACATTAACCTATGGGATTTAGAAACCTCTCAGTTAGTCATATTGACACAGATCACGACTTGGCATGGATCTTGCACTGTAACAGATGTAGGCAGGAACAAAACTGCACAAATGCACTAATTCACTTTTAACCAAGAGCAATCTTTAAATGCTAATGAGTAGGATTTCTTGCTGGCTGTTTGAAAACACATCATAATAATAGCAATGGACAACAAGAAATGTCCTGAACATATTATTAAAAAAAGGTGAGTGGGAACGTGACTGCAACCCACATCTAGAGGGTCATGACAAGTGATGATAGAGTGGGATTATTTTTCATGAGCCTTTATGTTGTTGTTTTTTGGAAAATCCTACTCATTGTGCCTTTAAACATTAGTTTGACAGAGCTGTTCCTATCCTCATTAGTTGTTATTACTTTTTGAAATGAGCATGAGATGTAATAGACTGCACCCGATTATTACTTGAGTGTTTATACCAACTTTTATAGATTGTTTAGTATAAAACTACAAATATTCAGTCTTGTCATTACATGAAACCAGCTCTGAGAAGTACCTTCATTCTAATAAGATGTATTTGTCAAATCATACAACGTATGATTACAGAAGTGATTATCAGATGTACCTGGTATGGGCTTGCATGACTTTCCCAACACCTATTGGCAAAGAAAACAAAGATTTAAGATAAGACAGAATGATACATTAATAAATCCATATTAGAATCATGTTACCAACTAAAAGGGCATATTTACCTGTGTGGGGTAGTTTACATACTGAAGGGCGGAGTTACTGGACACCATGGCTCCAAGATAAGAGAGGGAGCACAGCCCATAAAGCCAGCTCTGGGTGTGGTCTGGCTTTGAACCCTCAAAGAACTGGATCACTGATGATGAAGAGGTAGATGTAGCCTCAGATAATGTTTATCTTATTTTACATTAACCATTTGGATAGATTTGAGTACTTCTTCTATATAGTAAATACTTACAGATCTTAGCAAAAAGAGCACTGACAATGCACTGGATGAGGACCAATGTCCGGGCGAATACGAACTGCTCCTTTTGGTCTCCTTGACCATAGCTGCCTCGAGTGCTGGACGAGTCAAGGAGAAAAAACTGTGTTGAGTGCAACAGATCACAGACAATCTGTATCTGAGGCTGAAATAGCCTTCAACGACAATCCTAGCAAAAGCATGGGCTGGTAAATGGTATTAGAGTTGAGCACTTTCAAGAGTCTTCAAACTATGGAAAGGCCCCTTTAGAAAGGAGATACCATACTGCAAGTGACAGGCTGGGGTGGTGACATTTGGTTAGGGAACCATAAATCTTTAACAACTTGCAAACTGAACTCAATGGGCAATAGTTGCCAAGAACATATAGGAAAAAGTGATGTCAATAGTATTATATAAAGACATAGAATGATAGGCAATCATTTATGTTCGTGAGAGTTTCTTTTGTGAGACACTAGGTAAGCTTTCATTTTGAAACCAGATATGATCCCTGTCCCCTTTAGTAACAACATACCATCTGTGTCAGGCCTCATTATGTGATATGCAATAGAAACTAGTCTTCTTTTACTTTATAGACCCTTTCTAGACAACTTTATACAACCATTATGGTCTTATGTGTTAATCAAAGAAGGACAAGGTTTGCTGTATGCACACACATAATATGAGGGTAGTGACATAGTAGCTTTAGTGAACTACAAATATAGATCACCTGCTGAATGGTATAACTTTAGAGATCAATACCTGGCATTTTCAAAAATGAAAAGAATATCACGCCAAACTCCATTCATAAATATGACAATTTAATGTCAGCTTTGTCTTTGTCATCGGTAAAGATAACGTTGTATATCTTACATGAGTTTGCACAACGATTGACGGGCAGATTGAACCCACTGGCACATGGTGTACGTTTGTTGTGCATTACTTATAGCCATGTCATAGTACAATTAAGCTAGCAATGATTCGGTAACTGTCGACATGCAAGTCAGCATTACAATTGTAGATGTTATAATGAAGTTTGGCACAGGATAGGACAATGTTCTGTAACATACGTCACGCCAAGTGTTACTTACATAGTCTCTTGTAATATTCCGTAGTAAAAGTAACACACGAAGACTCCGAGGAAACAAACAATGAACCGTATCCGCATATTGTCCCATATCGAGACGGGCTTCCCGACTCCCTTTCCCGCAGCCATGCTATCGTCCAACAGCCCGGGTATGTTAACCGACACCGCTCCGCTGCCCGCTCCTCTCACACCGATATCCCGCTCCACTATAGACGACGTGACGAGCCCGGAAATGGTGCTCGCGTTTAGGTGTAGTTTTCTGTGATGTCTGACAAAGATGTTGCCTTTAAAGCTTCTTGAGCACCGTTAATTTGTCAAAGCCTGCAAGCGGTATCTTGACTTCTCTGGAGCTGCACAGACAGTCAGATTTCATGACATAAGTTTGTTCTGTATCATTCTCAGGTATCTAAATCTCTCCTCCAGGACAGCGTTACTGTTAAAAACATCCCATTCCCACCTTGATACATGTACTGTCAGCAGAGTACAGTACGTGTTTTCATTGAGAAATTACAGCCTATATTTAGTAGGAATAGCGGTAGCGACAGGGAAATAGGTTTTATGAAAGGACCTCAGTGGTGTCAACAGCTAAGCCTGAAAAGTCCAATAAATTAGATCATGAACACAAAAACATAATGCTGTGTTTAGTTTAACGATTCTACGCAAATTAATAATAATAGTAATAATAATATCACAACCAGCTATTCTGTGATGACCGAATTTTCATATCGTTTAAGTATAAGTACCAACACTTCATAATCATAATAGAGAATTGCCCATATCAGATATGAAATAAGTGCATCAAAAATGGTGATGTCAATTGTGTGCATCAAAGTAATGTTGCAGTTGTTAGATGGGGATAGCTTATAACATTTTGTATCAAATTAGTTTATATACTGCAGGGTAACATGACCAATAAAAGTACATCATATTTCATACATTTACATTGTGTTTACATAACCTAAATCTGCAAAGTTACTAAAGTTATCAAATAAACGTAGTGGCGTAAAAAAATACAATATTAGCCTACAAATGTAGTGGAAAAAGTAGCAGAACATGGGAACACAACTACCTTACATGTTTTGATACATGTACTTAAGTAAACAACTAACTTACTACCACCAATGCAGAAAGGCAAATTGTTCTGCTTATATTTTATTTTAAATAAAATATAAAGTGTCGTGTGGCACCTGTAAAGGCAGCTATTAAAAACAATGAGGTCCTTCCTTGAAAAAGTCGCGTGCCTTTTTTCCGTCCTAGGATGTGGATTAAATTCATTGGTCCATGTAGGGCAATAGAGATCCTTTCTCGTCCAATCGAAAGCAGATTTGGGTGGAAAAGGCGGTGCTTCGATTTAAAAACCGCAAATCCACGTGTCAAAGGCAAGTAACAACAACAAGAAAAAAACCACAGGAATTATAAGTAGTATAGAAAGGATTTAAACGCCCGGAAAATCTGTTTATTTTATTTTATCACAATGGCAACAGCACACTAAACATTACAAGTGGGAAAAGGTTGCTACATCATGTCTGAAAAAAAGGGCTGATAAAAATACATTTTTTCTCGATATGTATTTTTTTTGAATCAGTTTTGCTTAGGATCATACTAACAGAGATAGTGTTGATCCATTTGAACATTAACTTGAGCAGAGGGAATCAACCTCTCCCTGTGGTCCAAAGAGGCTCAGATTGAACAAAAACACTAAGCTTGACCACTTCAATTCATAAGGTTTACAAAAATTGCAAAAGGTTTGGTTAAAAACAATGCCCTCTGAAGGCAAGTAAAGCTATTCCAACATCCGTTATTGCCTGTAAAACTTTAAAGTATAATCAGAAATATTTTTTTTCTTCAGTGAAAACTAAAATTATATCACCAGCTTCCTTACAAAGATACAAAAATATATATCTTTCTATAAGTACATCTGTAGAAAAGCCAGCTACCATTAAACTATTGACCAACAGATTTTCCAAAAAGTTCTTGGTTTCAAAAAATTAAGCTGAAAGTTCATCTTAAAACTGAACCATTCCTTAACTAACAATTAAGGATAGTAAACTACTCACGTGTTGTAAGTGCTTGCTTTTTTTTTTATTACTTTGAAGTCACTCTTTGACATTAAAAATGAAAACATCCCTAGCAGATTGCAATCTTTTTCTGAAATGCTGATGCATCAACTAAAATAATATTTAGTTTTATCAAAAACAACAACTCAGACTTCAAACTTTTCTCAGCATTTCCAGAACTCCAGCCCTGACTTAATCCATAGCCCACATAAGGGAATACTTATAATAGGTGCTGATGAGGTAAATATCAGCTTAACATAGCATTCTGAAGGCGGAAATAATCAGTGTGAGCCACAAAGCCTTTTTTTGCTCACAGTGATCATGGCACGTTACAGCAGTGACATTTAAAACACAGTCAGTTGTAGGCATGTTCTGGCAGTGTGGTTTAGTCCTGAGAGGAGGCTACTGCAGGCCCAGGTGCCTGGTGGGAGAGGCCTGACCTGAGCAGCCTGTGACTGGAGAGACTGACAGGCCCCGGAAGAGAAGGTCCATGGAGGGCAGGAGGGGCTTCAGGAGGCTGACAGGGCAGAAAGCGGAGCCTCCATGAGGGGTGAAGTTGACTTTATTGCGGTCAGGGCAGGACGGCTGGAGGAGAGGCACGTCCCGAGAGGCAGACCTGGAAGTAAACAGATGGATAGAAGTTTGCATGTACCCCATTATACTGTATCATCAAAGGCTCCAAATGCCACAGCTTTAGATGTAGTTTTGCACATCTGGAAAATCATAATACCAGTTAAATAACAGTATTATAGTTCTGTTATGATAAAAAATGATTAATATGGCTCTAGTTTATGTTTTTATGTATACTTTAGTTATTTACATTATGACCACACCTTTATTTAAATAATTATATTACATTTTTTGGATAATTTTTTTTAATATTATTTTAGATTTTCAAGTTTCAAGGCTTTATTGTCATTTGCACATTGTCTACAGTGTAGATATGGCAATGAAAAACTTAAGCCACAGGCTCCTCCAACAGTGCAACATATATATAGGACATATAACTAATATAACAGATAAAATAGTGAAATGGAATGTTTTGAGATGTGTAAAATAGAAATAGTGCAAGAAGAGATTTTCTACTAAACCTGGGCTGTCTCATAAGCAGCATTTCACAGAAATGTATATCATGTAAATGCAATATTCACACCTCACAAGTTACCTTCTTCCAACCTTTTCTAAATTGGTATGATAAATGTTTATATTGAGTTAAGTTTAAATCTGATTTTATTTAAGAGCTTTAACGATATGCTACTGCTTGAGGAGGGGGGCTTCATGGGTTGCTCCTGAAATGACATCTAGAACGTGAATATTTATTTCATAAATATATAATCAAAACATTATGTTTTGCTTACATTTGATCCTCGCACATTTGTACTCGCTCAGAGCCTTCTGGCGGCTCGCGCTGGAAGGAGTAGGTTTTGTTGGGACGAGTAGCGGAGGAGCAGGGCTGCAGCAGGGGGGGGTCCAGGGCAAACAGAGGTAGCGGCGTAGATGGAGCGGGACTTAGCGTCTCACAGTCGAGTAGCTCTGCTCAGAAAGACACAAATATCCGAACTTTTGTTAATAATATGAAAACTAACCATATATTTGTTTTATTTTTGGACAGGTTAGAGTGGTCTAACCTGGCTCTCCCATGGGACAGGGAGACTGTGATGGAGACAGAAGAGATGGGTTCAATGGAGAAGGGGAATTTGAAGGAGACAGCAGGGATGGATCTAGAGGACAAGGAGACTGAGAAGGAGAGAGGAGGGAAGGATCCAGATCCAGGGGCCCTGGGGAGGGCTCACTCTGAGAGCCACTGCTGCACCTCTGAACAGGGACGGGGGCCCTATGGCCATCCGGGATATCCAAAATCTGGAATATTCAGGAGGAAACAAGTGAAGGGGTCAGAGCAGCTAAAGAAGCAACACAGGGCAATGTTTACACTTTTTTTTTTTTTAAATCTACCTTTTTGTTTCAAACATATCGTTAACAACTTTCCTGTAATTTCAACATCTTGACAAGATTTTGGGCTATTTAGCTTTTTGTTATACTTAAGCCAAACAAAAACCACAGTGCATACATACAAAAAAAGGCGTTAAGCTTTTTATTTTTTGTATTACAGAAGTAAGCCTATACTGCTGCTATAATGTTTGGTTCAGTTTTATAATCATTACTTGAAAATTTTTCTCAAAACATGATCCGTTTAATAACCTTGTGCCTCACCTCGTGCTGATCGTCAGGTTTCTCAGAGACAAACGCTTCTTCCAGCTCCAGGTTCAGACCTTCAACACTGCGTCGCAGCCGCGGGGCGATTCTGTTCAGCCGCATCAGGGGCACAGTCTGAAAAACAACAATCTTTAAGACTCTTTGTTCGCTTAAATACTTTTGAGCAGAATGTGTATATATCCATGTTGTGTGCCAGGTTAGTGCACATTTTGATACAAATAGGAGGTAGTGCAAGCAAAGGGCAGTATTAAATCAGCAAAATGTATCGTAAGAGCTTAACTTTAATGCTGTTCATTACCTTACCTAACTGTAAATACTTAAATTAAATATTCCCCATCTTATTTTGTTCATTCTATGTATTGTTATCTTATTTGTAAGAGACAAATATGTTGTTTGAATAACATGTAATGTAATTCTCTGTGTGCACATTGGGTGGTACTGTTGTATTATCCTGGGATCAGGTAAAAAAGGCAAGGTAAGTCACTGCTGTCATCAGGTGTTCCACCAGGAAGGGCAAATGTTTTTTGACTGCTGCAATGCCTTACCGTTTGTTTTCAGTTGCTTGTTTGTTTGTGTGTTCAGTCAAACCTTAAATGTTGATGCATGACAAAGCAAATAAAATGATGGTTATCTTAATCTATCAAGTGTGTTTACCATCTTGTTTTCCATTAATTTGGCATTCTATCCCTTTTACATGTTAATTATATGTTTATTTTCTCTTATTGAAAGCACTTTTACGAAAGGGGCTATACAAATACGGTTTAAAATCTATATTATTAATATTATCATTACTATATAATATCGACCTGTCAATGTCTGACTAAAGACTCGGTCCTTGTAAAAGTATGAAATGCTGGTTTCAGATTGTCTCTTTGTGACAGCAAGGCAAAATAACAGGAGGCGTGATGACAGCCGTTCCTAAGAAAAGCACAACTGTTTTTAAATACCCCTGTTACCAAGCGCTTCCCAGTCTGCCCGTGGAAGACGGATTAGCATCAGCAGTTGTCATGAAGACTTTGATCTCTGTGTCTTTTCCCCACATGTCATCAGGAGAGATAAGCAATGGGTTTACCTGAGTGATGCCTGCTGCATGACCTGCTGGCAGGGGGTGGTGGGGGGGCTCGTACCCTGCTGAAGGAGGGACGTGGCGGGAACGCTTCTGCAGCTGGTTCCTCAGCTTGGCCACCTGAGGGCAGAGCAAAGAGAAAATGATTCAGGAGTCACAACACTTCTTTCTGAAAAGGGAAAGGTTACTCTCTTTCCCCTCAGGAGGCAGTTAATGTTTCGTGCTGTCAGTGGGAGGGTGCGGAAAAAAGGGTGTGAACAGTGGTGGAATGTAATTTTACTCTACTTGAAGTTTTACATTTAATGAAACTTCATATTTCCCCCCATTACATGCTGTCCGACAGCTTTAGTTACTTTTCAGTTTACTGTTTTTCGTCCCCTCTTTGCACAGTGTCCCGATATGGTGATTTTGAATGTTTGTGATGAACTGAAGGATATTTTTTTTTTTATGTTGAGATAATTCTATTTCCATCCTAAGCTAAATAAACAACTGTACAACATCGCTTGGATCAGCTGGAACAGGCATTGTCACAAGTTGAAAACAGGACTGTGTTTCTTAGATCATGGAAAGTAGATTGTTTACATACATGTGGTTCTCACAGGACAAACATGTGATGGTTTCATATATTATGCTTCATTGCTGTATATTAAGCTACCCAACAGTACATGACGGAGTTATAATGAGCATAATCTTTAAGTACTGTACTTTAATACATATCCAAGGTACTTTTATACTTAAATGATATTTTACAAATAAGGCTTACATACACTTACCAAATATAGCTTTCGAATTCAAGACTTTTACTTGTAGGAGTGTTTTTTGGAGCATGGAATAAGTACTTTTTCTTCCACCAATAGTTGTAAGTAAGAGTAAGAAACAGGGCAATTGATGATATAAACTCAAATACATACCTCCCTCAGGTGCTCTGCACTACCCCACGATGCTGAGCGCTTGTGTTTGCCGGAACTTCTCCTCCCTCGGGTCTCTTCTGCCCAGGAACTTGGTGTCTTAGAAGAAAATATTATTTCTTTTGTGAATAATAAGCGAGTATAATAATATGGGTCCCGAATTTGTCTAACAAACATTTGGTGGATGTAGTAGAAAATTGCCTTTTATGGCAGACATTTTGGCTGACCTTTTTGAGGCCTCTGACATTTTCTGTTTAACTCCATTCAACACTACAAGTTGTTACGAGTACAACACAGAAGTGGAGCCCAACAGCTGTGTTGCACACCTGCTCCAACAGCTGTACAGAGGAAGGCTTCGAGAAAACCACCCTGAGCTGCAAAACAGCCCTCCGCTTTCACACACATTTCAAAACACCCAAACCACATCTTTGGAAAGACTATAAATACAGTGCAAGTTCAGCATTCAACACTTCAGTGCACACAGAGTAACCTTGTTTTTCACCAAGTCACATACTGTAGAAGAACAACAACAACAAAGACAAACGGAAACGTTTCTTGTGCACTTCTTCTTTTGTCAATCACAACTACTCAACAACCTACTTTTACTCCTATAAACGTACCGATTTCTTCACATTGACTCTTGATTTTCTACCAGAGGGAGTCGGGTTGGCTTCTCCCGGCTCTTTGTTGGGAGAAGACGCCTCGCAGCTCATCCTCACCCGGTGTAACCCTTGTTTAGTTGACCCACAGGATCAAATGATCACAGTTTTGGTGCCTCCAGTCAACTGCTTCACACACACTTGCATACAAATCGGATCCACGCACTGGTGCCCATGCCATTCAATAAGGCAACAGTACACATTTAGCCCTCACTGTGAACAGTAGGGTTGTGTCCTGGTATTCCATTCCCAAAATGCGAGCAGTTCTCAAGGTGTCCGCCTCACAACTCAGAGAATCTTATTAGTGCCATAACTTCCTGCAGTAGAAACGCAGACACCATCTTGTCCCCGTCCAGTGGACTAAACGTAGAGCATCGGCCAGCTAAATAAGTCAGGACGCTACATGGGTCAGTCATACGGTGACATCGGTGTAGAGTTACAGCTGCCAACCCCCCCTGAAATCATCCAACACCAACAACCCCACCCTGCCCAAAACATGAACAGGGGGATCATGGGACACACATCTATAAAAAGACTCAAAGGTAGCAGAACATTTGGCTTGTGTTTCCAGCTCTGACGACTCATCAACATGTACTTAATTCCTGTCTGCAATATGGCCTCAATAAAAAGGGAAATACAATCCATTTCATTTTGGATGAAAACACAGGAAAGCAGCTAATTCTCACATTTGGGAGGCTTGAGGAAGAACATATTTTTCTGATTGACTGAATTATTATTTCAGAATTAAACTGAAACAACTTGCATTCAAATTAAATGTACTGTTCCTGAAATAAACCGTACCAAGCACATATTTATACTTTTGTATAACATAACTTGTCCACAAACATGCTTGCACCCATGTAGCACATATCTGTAGAATAATAGCGTAGTAAAGACGGTTAACTACATGTTTAATCGTTATTCCATGTACAATTTATACAAAATGTGACACGTAAATGTGTTATCTATATGGATCGGATTATTTGTATTAATGTGTGCTTGCCACTTTACTCAATACAGTTTTAGTTTGTCTTTATCGTTGTTGTATCTTTGCTGTAACAATGTACATTTCCCCTGTGTGGTGCTAATAAAGGAATTCTGAGTCTGATTACTGTGTGAGTGTAAGGTGTATTTAGTGTATACGTACAGTATATGTATAGCTATGTCATTTTACTTTATTTTTGTTAGCTTTATTTTCCCCATGTCTTTTTTTATCTGTCATTTTAATGTATAACTCTTTCCTTTAGTTTTTTCACTTGAGCTGCCGTAACATTTAAATATCCCCTATAGGGATCTAGGGGTACCTGAAAGTATATATTATTTTAATTTTGAATCTGAGTTACCAAAGATGTGTGTTTGATAATGTTAATTAAAAAAAAGTTCTGTCTCAGAACCCATGTAGGATATATCTTGTTTTCTACATGATAAAGAAATACAATCTTTAAATTCTCCATAACTATAAATGGAACAATTTGCCGGAAGTTTTGAAAGTAAAAAAGCATACCAAATGAGGACTGAAGCAAACCAAGTTAAATCATTTAAAGTAATGCAGAAGATGGCAGAAGGACGTGCTGGGTAGGGTGTGTGTGTGTGTGTGGCTGAGGAGAGTGCTGGGGGATGGGGTGTCTGTATAATGAGGTCAGGAGGGGTCTGTTCCTCACAATGGAGGCGAAGGGGGTTTGTTCGGGTTTTAAACTGTGTCAGGATCGAAGACGAAGCTGCGGAGCTTGGAGATGTTAGTCGGGGCTTTGTGCACCAGTTAGGAGCCGATACAGTCGAGGGGGGAGCGAGGGGAGAGCAGCAGAGTTTAAAGAAGAACAAAAACGACTATTTCCAGTTGGCTGCCTTGCACCCGCAGCGTCAAACTGGAACCACGAGACACCTGCAGAGCCAACATCAGATATCTTGTCCTCTATATAATTCCGTAACATACAAGAAAAGCAAGGCAGATAAAACATTTGGTCCCCTGTCTGCTTTTTTTCGGCAACATGAAGCAACAGGTTTTATGGGAAATGTGTCCTTAAACAGACTTCCACTGAGTGGACGGCTCTTGTTAAATGACAGTGATTACTCAGAGGTATCACCATTAATTTGATATTGTCATGATAAATTAATATGTACCTGTGTGGCTTTGTCATTGACACAGGTAACAGCCTGGCTCTCTCCCTCTCTGGGCCACTGTCCCTGCAGGTAGGGGCCGACGATGGCGTCGAGAGAAAGCGTTCGGCGGATGGTAGGTTTCGGTGGGCGAGCTGTGTTCCTGTCAGCTTTGGAAAACAGAAATAAAAATACATTTAAGGGATTACTTTATCCATAAAATGTCCATTAGTATATCAATTGCATAACCTAGAGCTGCATCACCTAGAGCTTGTAAAGAAAACGTTGTGTTTCTAGCATGCCTCCATGTCGACTAAAATAATCTAAAAAAGTATTGATGAGTTGAAGGATGTTATATGGTTTTGCGGTTGTTGAACGCCTACTTCAATTCATCAAAACTTTGGTCACTGTGGAACAATGCAACAAGAAAAAGATTCCTTGAAGAATTCAAAGTAACATATTAAAGTCATGGAGTTTATGTCTGGGTTGTGTAAGCCTTAACACAGTACTTGTCAGAACAATGTCTGTCCTGCAGATCTCACAACTCATGCCTGTGATCATGTATAGCTTGATTGGCCAAGAGTATAAAAACTCTCCTTAAGAAGCTAAACAGTATTTTGACACCAGTAGTTGTTTAAAGAAATTGCTCCCAGGCTTCTTCCCCACCAACGAGCATGCCGTGTGGAGTTGTGTGTTTGCATGTTGGCAGCTCTCTGTAATCTCTGGCAGGTGTGGACCATGCCTTTGACCTGGAGCAAAGCCATCCATCTACACAGCATAGGCAACAGTCACCACAGGCTACAAGTATACACACACAGTATGTTGTCATGTTGCAGGGCAGACAGGCAGAATGTATAAATAAACACGACTACATGCAGATGTGATTTGCATGGATACAGTTAAAGTAGAACAAAGCTGTGTTGGAGTGAAGAACGCAGCAGAGATCCCACAGGTTGCGAGTGCAAAGGGTTGACTGGGTGTCCAGATAACATTTAGAGAGCAGTGTTATGTTTCAGGGGTTAGCAGAAGCCTTCATTGTTGACTTAACTTTCTCAAGGTATGCTGGGATTTTACTTTTAGACCGAGGGTCAAGTTCAATCTTTGAGGCAGTGATTGATCCATGAATTGCCATGAGTTCGGCCTATGTAGCCATCAAAGCACACCGGCTTTTTAAGTTTTGCAAGTCAAGAATTGTTCAATGAGCACACAAGTTAAAACGTCAGACTTGTTCATTCAAAAATGGCTTGAGCAACCCTATTTTTCATTCAATGTTCTAAGTGCATTGGGCAGATGTATGATTTCCTTTGCATCATTGATTCATCTTTTGATTAAACCAGATAGTGTCAATTAAAGTTAGAAAGTTAATTCTTCAGAGCTCGAGTTTGTCCAAAGCCTAGAAATATTGAAGTTACAATAATATAAGACAGACAGAATTAGCTAAATGACACTAGGGAACCAAATGTTTGGCATATTTTCTGTCTAATAAAACTACTGTCAAAATAGTTGCTTCTTCATTGTCCGTATTGATTAATGGACTCCACCATTAGCCTCTATTTTCATTGTGATACAATTAAGAAAAACAAGTAAATGAAACACTTGAACATAACTGCGTATCTGAGTCAGATATTCATAAATGGGCACCATAAATACACTTTTCAACACTGGACCACATAGAGGTGAATGCAGAGTTCAACCCCCTCTTCATGAGTTGTATTTACCCGTGTTGACCTCCCTGCAGAGGAGAGCTGAGCCCCTCTGGAGCTGGTACGGGACGGTGGCTCTGAGGGGCTGCAGGCTGGGGTTGCTGCACCCCCGAGGCGCTCCTCCACTTCTACCCGACATTCCCCACTCCATGCTCCGCTTGTGAAAACACACACGGCCTCTCTTCTTCCTCTCGGTCACTGCAACGCGCTGTCTTTCTTTCTGCCCACATTCACTTCATCCACAGTGATGATGATCCAGAACTCTGGTGGGGCCCCTTGTTGAGCACCCAGCTTGAGATTTATTTTGTGATGACCATGATTTTGTGTCACTTACTTTCGGAGCAGAGACGACCTGGGTGCAGCTTTGCAGTTTAAAGCATCTTGACGTTGTAGTGTGAGGAACAGACACCACTCACACATCGCTGTTCGTGCAAAGTGACAACACAACAGCTCGGCTCAAACTGTGTGCAACTGTCTTGTGCAGTGTATGGTTCCCAGGGAGGGCGATCTGATTGGCCGCAGCAGAATACTACTGAGCACGTATTGGTCATTACGCCGATCCGTCTACTTAATGGGCCCCACCCCCCCTCCCCAAAAAAACTAAAAAAGTTAAAGCTCCCAAAGAAAACCAAAGCCTACAATTAAGTTAATCACCATATTAGTGATAGAATTGTCGGTTTGAGTTTTGTCTTTGACTAAATGAAAGTCACATTTCTTTGGAATCACCTTTTAACTTTGATGTGAATTGGTTTCTTCACTCTAGAGATGACTCTTTTTCACTCTCTGTGTGATGGACAAAACAAGACATTTGAGGACTAGACCTTTTTCTTTTGCATTTTATAAAACAAAACAACTAATTGATTAAATACGTTTTAAATTCACTAACAATATAAAAACCTACCCATCTCATACAAATCAAAGAGTGCAATTCAGTGTTTTCTAGAAAATAATGAGTTTAGATAAACAAACCTCATCCTCATTATTCAACAATAATGTAATTGTTATTTTCCTTTTATTTAGTTATATATTAGCTACATGAGATGTCGTGTTATTCTATAAAACCACAGTCTGGTGTGTTACAGGCTCCATCATCTTAATGGATACTTGTGTGAGCTTGCAGGTTGACTGAAATGTTATGGCTAATGTCACTCAAAGATTTTCATCAATCTGTAGAACATATTTGTCCAGTGCAACCTTACTTTATGAGTACTTGTTTACCGATAAGATACATTATATTTTGTATTATTTGTAACCACAAGATGGAGCCAGAGCCATAGACTGTATATTTTTTTGAATCACTGCTTGATTGCTTCAGTATTACTTTTTGTTTCTCAGAAAGATTCAATAAAGATGCCTATAATAATACAAAATAACTAATTATGGCATCACCCTTTTTGATAACACAGTGCAATGTACACAGATACACACATAATGGAAAAAGGTTGTTTATTGCAACACAAACAAAACTGAAAATTACCCTTGGATGAGTAAAAGGAAAATACTGCACTTTAAAATAAAATCAGATAAATTAATATATGTGGTAGGCTATGATTAAATAAAGAGGTGCACAGATTGAAAGAGTGTTTATTACTTAAGCAGGAATGATATGCACGTCCAGGGACGGCTGACCCCAGATACCATTCAGTCACAAACTTTAAAACATACTTCTCAGTGCTATGTCTCTGTGAGGACAGATATATATAGATAATCTGTATTTCTTAAAATTATCCTCACTTCTCTATTTGCAAGTGGCTGCATCCAAAGAGCTTCAAGTGCTGTTTTGGTTACATTGTTGACAGATTGAGGCGCACAAACACACAGACAATGCCACAAAGGAAGAAAACGGATATTGAAATAAGGAGCAACATTGGAATACATTTAAAGGAAATTAATTGAAGCTTTGGAAAAAGGTCTGAAAGGATTTTGCAGAGAAATTGCATGATCGGGATTTACAGATAGTGGTTTTGCGAGAGTGTGAGACAGGAGTTGAGCGGATAAGGCGAGGTGAAGGGAAAGAACCAAAAGAGATGGATCCTTTTAGCTTCATGGTGATTTTACACTCATGTGTACAAAAATCCAAAGATGGTGTCATGACTTTCCCATGGAGCTATTGATGGTCTTGGTGCATTATGGGTTGGAGAAGGATTTTGGTCGGGTTTATGGTCATCGCAGCATCACCAGGCAGACAGGCTAGGGGTTGTATCTCTGTGGTCGATGGACTGCACCTCCTAGCTGGGAGTGAGTGCGGGGCTGGGCTCTGTGCTGATGTTCACCAAACACTCGCTGGACTTGAGGCTGGCCAGGGACTTGGAGCTCGGTAAAGAGGCCAGAGAGCCACACAAACCCAGCATGGAGGGAGTGTTGTCTTTCCCTACAGGGACAAAACAGAGAAAAATGCACAATAAAACTAAGCCTCTGATTGTGCATACTTCAAGCTGCCCACATGAAACACCATGAACAGCCATCAAGCCTGCCTTTGTACGGTGATGTATGTGCATGTGCATGGGTGGCTGCCTCTGAAAGGCTTTTATGCAGATGTGGAAGGAGCGCAAATATATTCCTACTCGAGCAGAAATGTTGCAACTCTACAACTGTGTTTTTTATACTGGAATACATAGTAAGTAAGTCAAATGTAGTTGTAATGTAGTTTGAGAAATACATACACAGACACACCTATATATACACACAAACCCAACTGAAATCGGTTTTAGATAGACAATTAAAAACTAAATATCTCACATTTGTAAATTGTTTCCAACTGTCAGATGAATGAATGTACAGCAGTAGCAGTAAAAAGGTAATTGTACCTGCTGAAGTCCAAGCAGCATCTCCATTCTGTCTCCCATCATTCCTCTGAGAGTCAGAGTTCAGACTCATTTCAGCAGAAAGCAGCTCCAAACTGTGGAAACTCCTCCTACATGGACAAAAACATAATCTCAGCCCAAATACCTGATGGTCTGTACATTGATTGCATCTATAAACATCCGCTTATGAATGCTATGTGTTTTATTTCCCAATAGGGGTCTTATATATTTAGATTAATGAACTGAAACCAGTTTACCTGCGGAAAAGCTTGACATCACCATGGTTGTTTGGGATTGTGGACCACTGGTTGACCAGCGGGATGGAAAGATCTTTAGCCAGATGGGAGGTATCACAGGGCATGAGGGCAGTGCTGCAGGACACACAGAGAGCAAATCATTCAGTTCAGAAGCAATAGCTTTCGTTTAGCAAGCAAATATGTATCTCAACGTCAAAGGTGGTGGCAATAAAAGAAAAACACACAAAAAAATAGCTAAGGCCTGTTTTTTCACAGTTTCCCAGAGCACCTTACATATCCTTTATCTACAAATAGACCAACTTCTTTCCTTTTATCAAGGACTGCAACTTGAAATCATGTGAAGTATTGCATTATTAACCAGCATAATCAAAAATCTGATCTGCGTTAACTTTCAGTTTCTTTTCATCTTCCTTATAGAACAATGAGTTGTGTCATTAAGTAGGTCACTAGTGTCATTACACATTTTCTATTGAGGAACATTTTTGCATAAAAATAACAACTGTTTTTAGTTGTATTGTTATTTAAAACTTCTTTTAAAACAAACAAATTAATGTAATGCAAACAGTGATGCGATCTGGAGCACATGTTTATATTTGGAGCTTGTTATTTAGGTAAATATGGTCGAAGTTTGTGTGTTTCTCACAGTTGTGCCTGCAGCTCCAGCACAACCGCCTCCAGCTCCTTCTTCTCCTGCTGGCTCTGCCCCGTCAGCTCCTCCACGTTGGCTCTCAGGTGCTTGTTCTCCGTCTCCACATTCTTCAGCTGAGACTCCCGCAGGCGCACCAGCTCCTCCAGGTAACCCTGCAACATGAAAATAAGGAGACGAGTTTGTGTGTGTCGAAGCACACAGTGGAAAATAACTATAAACAGCATTCATTTGGTTTTAACAGCTGTTGTTTCTCACCTTCTGGGCATAGACGATTTTAAACCTCTGCTCCATCTTGCGGCACTTGTTGCTCCAGCTCTCCTCGTCGGTCACCAGAGGGATGTAGGGATGCTCGGGGACGCTCTCCTCACTGTTGCTGCTGTCCACACTGTGACGGTCGTCCTCATCACTCAGGTAGTCGTAGCTACACAGCACAGAGGCAACAGTTATGCAAAACTGCACACAATGTGATGCATAAACTGGAGTTACTGGATCAATCTCACCTCTGAGTGAACTTCAGGTAAGGTGTGTAGTCGATAACAGCTGAGGATTTCCCATCCAGAGTCTCCCCCTTTAAGCAAAAACTGCACAGAAACAGGGACAAATCCTATTTAACAAACCTGAAGGGTGTATATTATCATTAAATATCAATGTTTTTAAATATAGAATGGAGCCACAGTTTGGTTTTATATGTATACAGTGCATGTACAATGTAAGATATAATAACCCATTTTAGTACCTCAGCCAAGGGGGATTTGGTTTGTTTGTTGGTTTGTCAGCAGGATTGTGGAAAAGCTACCGGCCCACTTTTCGTGAACATTAAAGTATATTCGAATCATAAGGTCATAAGATACATTCTTTTTTTTTTTCACTTAGGGAAACGCTCTGTGTGGAGGTCTGCACTCTGAAGTGAGCTTCTAGTAGTGCATAAATGTCAGACGTACTTTCCTTTACATAATTTAAACAGTAATATATTAAACATGAGAAAGTGCATACACATCATCAATGTATTATTCATGAATACATACTACCTACTAATACCTTAACAGTTACTAAATGTAGGTGTAGAAATGTGGTCAAAACATATTTCAAAAACAGTGAAATTATATTTATTTGATATATTTCTATAAAAAAATATATAAAAACATATGCTTTAACTTATTATTTCAGTATTATATGTTCAATTATACTCATAAAATAGAATATCCTTTACCCTAATGTATATTATATCTTGAAGACTCCTAACAATAATTCATTTATAGCTTTGTGAAGCACCTTGAGATGACGTTGTTTTTAAAGTGTGCTATATAAATCAAATGTATTATTATTATTACTATTATTATTAATTCCTAATTATTGGGTTGAAATGAATGGAACAGGCAAGAAAAGGTTCAAAGACTAACCTAATTTAGGATACTTATAATAGCTTTCAAATATAAGCCACCTAACTTTGTCAATTTAAAAGAGCCTGGTGTGTACCAGTTCATGTACTTTCATATTTAAAAATCAGAGTATGCAGTGTAGCTCTTTACCTGAAGTCAATGGCACTCAGTCCAATCAGCATGCCAGTCAGGACCTGCGCCTCTTCTCTCAGCATAATGGCTCCATCATCATAAAACCTCCTGTCAAGAGAAAGAGTGGTTTCATCCCAGAACTTTAGGATATAATAATGATAAAGCTGTGAAGCCTTTTATAGTTTTTGATGCTAAACATCTGTAGGAGCTGTGTACGTCCCTCAAAGAAATGTAGATATTTGAATTAAACTGATTATCATGAACAGCCATAACCACCATGAAGCAGGTGTCACTTCAAAATCCAAAATAAACAGAATGAGAAATGTATTGTTTGTCCTTTTAAATAATGGATTATGACCTGGTTGTTCTTGTGTCCCTCAGAGCAGTGGACACATATTCAGACAGACGTTTCTCCATCAGCGCCACCCGAATCCATGCCCGCCCCTGTAAGACAACATCAAAAGTGAGTAGGAACAGATGGCTTTCTGAGCGGCTCTGTCTTGCAATAACCCACACACATACACACACAGTTCTGCATAAAGTGTCCTTGCCTTAGCTCGTGATGTGCTGATGTTCTCTATGTTTTCGATGCTGGCGATGCAGTTGTTCTGCACCTTGCCGCACGCCAGCCGGATATACTCCCAGAAACTTCGCTGTCCATCTGAGCTGAACCAGCTTCCTGAACCTGATACAAGATCACAACACAGCAATGAATCACATCTGCTCTGAATACATGCATGCCCCACATGGTTTAACTATTTTCATGTTAATATACATTTGTCTCATGTTGGTTAGATTTTTCCATCCATTTCTGTGCCATATGTTACCTGCAGTGTTACCTTTGAAGCGGTGGCTGAGGATGTGCTCTAAAATGGCGGCAAAGTTAATAAACTCCTCGGAAGAGTCGTCTATGGGCTCCGCTGTGTACTTCTCTAGGAGAGTCTTTACAGAGAATCTGAAAAAGAAGCAGACAGAGAAAGAAGAATTAGAAAAACACAAGATGGAATGGAGAAAATATGCAAAATGAAGTGAAGGATTTGGACTTTCTGTTGGTTGTGCGCTGCACTAGCGGTTAAACTGCAGCCTTTTACTGTACCAGAGCAGACAAATGTACTACTGTATTTGAATCCTTCAACAATAGCGGTGAGGAGTTTTTTTTCTCTTTTCTTTTTTGGGAACCACGCCATCTTATTGCACTGAGGTCACCCCAATTGTCTTGTGTACTGCACAATGTACCCCTTCAGTGCTTTGGCAGTGTTATCATGAAAACAATACAATTAACCCCCTGTCTTTTCAGCCTTTGTGCACGCTGTGCTTCCAGGTCCCCTTGGGTCTTGTCTCTCTGAGGGACCGGCCAGCATCAAAGAATAATCCAATCCCCCCCCAATCTTTACATGGTGGTCTGATCTATTTAGGGCAGTCACAGCCACAGCTTAGGGTTTGTTTTTTACCCTGCTGCCACACAGGCAGTGGTGCAGCGTTCATGTTAGGAGCCAGCATTCAAGCACGGGCTCGGGCTGACTGCCACTGCTTCTACAATGGGCAATACTAGCATCACCGAGGGCAAGACTGCCATGGCAGTGGGAAGCACCTCCATAGCCAGGGGAAAGACTACTGTAGCCATGGGCAACTCCTCCGTCTTCAGGGGAGTGACCACCACCTCCATGGGAGACTCCACCATCCAAAGGCAAAAGACGACGGTGGCTCTGGGACGGGCCAGCTTCAGCCGGGGAACCACAACCACCTCCTTCCGCAAAGCCTTGATGTCCAAGCGCAAGAACACCTAAATGGACAGGACCCCTGAAGCCAGGGCCAAGACACCCAAAGCAGCCAAGCCGTCCAAAAAAGACTCTAACAATGAGTGGAAAACCACATTCTTGTCAAGCAAGACCTCCTTCACCAAAGGCAGGGTTTCAATCCTGAGGACTAAGTACGCCATCTCCTGGGGTAATTCCTCGATCTCCTGGAGCAGAACCACCGTAACTTTGGGCAACACCATTGTAGCGGTGGGCAAAACCTCGGTCACACGAGGGGAGAACACCAGCTCTCTCGCTACTCTGACCTTCACCCATGGGACCAAGTCTGTGTCAGTGATTAAAACCACCCTCATCAGGGGCAAAGAAACGCACAGCAACATCTACTGGAATTTTCACACATGATTCCGCCCCACAGTTTAAAACCCAAGGATATTTCTATCTGCTCAGTTTTAGCAGGTCAGTAGTAAAAGTCAATAAAAAAAGAGTTGCTATGCTTATGTTCAGTGTGTGACATCATCTGTTACCTGTTTGCACAAGGTGCATTTGTAAGAAAGTGCTAAGGGAGTAGCAGAACTAATGGGTTTGCAATCAAGAGTGAGATTTTCCAAAGCCACGCTGAGTGTGTTATGCAAATGTAACAGCAAGAGATGTTGTTGTATGGTGTGTCTACTTGGCAGGGAGGGAAAATGTGTAACAGTCGTGTGGGATGTATGTGGTGAAGCACAAGAGAGTGTGTGTGTTTTTCATCAGCACTGTTCTCCTGTACATTGTGCATGTACAGTCATCAACTTGTCAACATCTTTGGTACAAATGTAGTATTTTAACATTGGTTGTTAGCCTGCATTTCCATTACATAATTTTTCTCCAGAAAACACAGTTTTCAACTAGAAAAACTGTAATGTAACAATGCTCATAAAGTAACATGTTTAAACACTGCTTGGCTTGATTGTTTTGTAAATAGATTTGCGTTTTTGTGGGATATATTCTATAACCTAAATGACATAAATGTTAGAAATAAAAGACTCAAATGCTCTAATGAGTTGCAAACAGTTCAGCAAGGACACAAATGGGTAGTAAACAGCATCTAAAGGGACCACACCCATATTTTAAATGGAGGGACAACATCAAAAAGGAAGGGTGTAATTAAAGCCTCAGCTTCACTTGGAGAACATGGAACATATTCATCCTTTCTCTTGTCAAATCTGTAACCGTGCCACTGATTTCACATATGGTATATACAGCCGTACACAGAGGCTATGTCCTACAATCAGAGGCTATAGGGAACAATGGCTCAGAAGAAAGTGATGTCACCACAGATTGCCCCCGTTGCAACAATGTGTCCTTCAACCGTCCGGTGTCGTCGTGGAGATGGGACAATCACTCCACTGTCCCCGTCCCCCCAGATAGGCTGTGGCCACCTACGGCTGCCTCTGTCCATTCACAGGGACACATGGGTGGTATGTGGCCTTCCACAGCCCACGTCGATCATCTCAAGGAAGGCATTATGTGACACGGGGGTCGTGCTATCCACGCTTAGCATTCTGGTCTGCTCTGGACAGTAGCTGATGTTACTATTACCGCCGAGGGGCAGAGCGGGACGTGCTGCATGAGTGTGCGATGCTTTGCATCGAGTGAGCCCCAAAACCCGTCCTCGAATCTGGGTCAGGAAGACAAACCTCTCCTCAATGGGCAACACCAGCTTCACCGAGGGGAAGACGGCCTTAACCCTGGGCAACACCACCATAAAGAGGGGAAAGTCCAAGATTGCCATGGGGGGCTCCTCCATCAGCAGGGGCAAGAGCACAACATCCCTGGGCACCTCCACCATCACCAGCGGGAAGACCAAGATCGCACTGGGGGGTGCCTCCTTCAGCAGGGGCAGCACCACCACCTCTTTTCGGAAAGCCCTCTTCCCGAAGCGCAAGACTCTCTAGATGAAAGGGGAGCTCATTGTGGGGTGGGGGGACTGGCTCAAAATGTCACAAGAAAGAAGAAAGAAGTATCAGAGAGAACATTTGGACATCACTTCAGAATCTGCACGGGGTCTGTTCCAATTGAGAGGCAAAACTGGAATACATTTACTTTTGGACCTTTGACTTGTTTAGAGCTAAGCCGGATTTATCAAGGGAACAGGTCAGTGGCATCTAAATTCTGTCTCATGATGATATCTGCATAACAAAGTGGGATGTTAGGATGTTATGTGCTGTATTCCACCATGACCCAAAAGGTAAAAAAAAAAAAATCCACTTAGGTGATGCCAGTTTGCTAGTCAGCACAAATAGTGTGTGTTGGGGCAGAAATTCCCAATCATTGTCAATTGAAACTTCCCAAAGAGATATGTTCCTTTGAAATGACTTTGTCTTAAGGAATCCCATCACTAATGACATTTTGTTCGATATGATTAAGTCTAAGATTGTATTATTTATTACGTCTAAAACTTAGGATAAAGAGTGAAAAATATGGTCAAATCTGGTTATTTGTGCAGACTTCAAATCACAGAAAATTGTAAGAAATCAAGCAAATTCCTCATTATGCAGAGGGCCAAGCCCTTGGAAAACCACCAAGTGCTCCCATAAGTTACCCATGCCCAGTATAAGCCTGTCATAAATGGCTGCATGTGTGTTGATATAGTAACATTTTGAATCAGAATAGATGAAGGGTTAGGGTTAAAAACTGATAAGGCAGCAGCGTTATCTCAAGAGGAGCATTATAGCAACTTATTTTAAGTGAACTGAAGTCCTTTGATCTGAAGGGGAATTGCTGGCATTCCACAAATGCAAATGGATGGAGTGGAATAGCATAATGTTCTTGGTACGATTTGACACTGAAAAACAACTGCAGGGCCTTCTGACAAGCTTCTTTTGTGCCCCCTCTCACTCAGCCTGGGCTGCAGCCAAGCCCACTCTCAGCTCTGTTGAAATGCTCTGTTGTTCTCCTCTCTCAACCCCCTACTGTACTTTCACAAGTGTGTTTGATCAGTAGCACCACCTAAGATAACCAAAACTGCATTTATCAACAGTGAAAGCTAATCTAAACACATAAGGCTTCACATTAACTCTCTCAGATTCCTTTTTCTTTCCCCTGACTCCTTTCTCTTTCTCTCTCTTCCTCTTCCTGTCTCTCTCTTTAGTCTTGGCATAAGCAGCAGGATCAGATGACACAGGCAGACTCCTCACTGGCCGCAGCATTGTGTAACACCAGCCAGTGCTGTTGTTTATCGTCCTGGACTGTCGGGGGAGACGTCATGTACTGGATCTGCACAGACAGCCACAATAAAGAATGCTGTGCGCTTTGATAAATATTAAGACAAGAAATTAGAAAATATGGCCCAATAAAAATAGAAAAGACTTAAAAATGCAACTTCAGCAGGGTGTGTCTCTCTCTCACCGGCCCCGTCTGTGAATTGGCGTCCAAGCAAAGTGTTTCATGGTCAGAGGAGGTGAATAGGGATTAATGTGCAGGGAGGACAGTGAGGGCATTGGGCGGGGAAGTGATGAGAGTGTAAAGCAGGTGTTTGTGGGGTGAAATGAAGAATAACAGGGTGTCACAGAGAAATTGCTGGTGGGAGAGAAGGCTGATCCTATGCTGAGATTAAAAAAATGGTCATACCTACATATATTACTGCTGTAATTTCACATACTTGATGGTATAATAAATAGGAAATAGGGGAAGAATGCAAAAAAGGCTGCACATAATCTGAACTATAACACATTGTCATTCCAGACATGAAAAGAGTTGTTTTTATTGTTTCTTTCAAATTAAACTGAGAGGTGGAATGTGGCACTTTTTACTTTTGTTTGGAATTTGCACAAGACATTTTGTTTTCCTCTCAGGCCACGCCCCCAGAAGGGCTCAAACCTCAGCCAATATGCAGCACACCCTCCCTGTCCCTTTTGTTTACAGAGAGCAGCAAAGGGTTAACACCTTACATCAAACCTGTCAACTCTCACTCATCTTATCTATTTCTTATCTATTTCTTCTCAGGTTCCCCGTGTCCACGGCAACACTGCTCCTCCTGTCATGGACCACTTAGCCAGACACAAGCACAAAGCAGTACATTTGAAATATATCACAGACCAACAAGTCACCTTTAAACATATTGCCTTGTGATGTTAAACAATGTTTTGGCTCGGTTAAATAAACTATAGATGGATGGAAATTCCCAATGACTAAAGAGAAAGATTCAGCCCTGCCATGTTAACATAAACCTGTTGCTAGTGGCAACAGCAGAGACACTGCAGATCACAATGACACTGCTGTCACCATGGACATGATAAATATATCACAAGTCTTTCTAAAGCCATTAAGACAAAGCCCCTCTGATTTGTTCTGATGTGGTCAGGTATTAAACATTATTATAGCTAAAATCTTTAAGGTCAAAGTATAAAATGTAAGTATTGTTCTGGTGAAAGCATTTGGATAAACTCAAAAAGGCTTGAATATTCTGCTTAATAGACATTTTAAATGTGTACACCTGACCTTGTTATTCTAAATTTTAAATATTTTTGTGTGTTTAAGTCTCTGAAACTGTTCCCTGTGGTGATGCAAATGTTTGATCAGGTTTTCCTTTATTATACACAAATGTCTATTGCTGTGCATATGTGTTTTTAAGATGACACTTGTCAACACAAGGCACTGAAACATTGAGCAGATCTCTGTGCCTGGTGCTGGTGACCCACATTATGCCAGATCATGTGAATACACTTTCTTTTTCTGATATGCCAGTTTGTTTTTGTTATGACTTCCATTAACAGACAGACATGTGACATTTCTGTACCCTAGACCTAAGCATAAACAGACCCCTTTTCTGAAGTTCCACAAAAAGACATATAACTATATCCAACGACTTGTTGGGAAATGTTAATCTCTGTGTGTGCCGATGGTATTTTAAACGTGTATGATGTGACACTGAGGGAAAAGAGGTCAGACTTTATATATACACAAACAATTATAAGGGGAAAATAAAGGCTTGGCCTGCACTAATCTAGCACTAACGTCAGCTCAGTTACTGTGGCCAGGCAGCAGTTAAAGCTGTGAAGGTAAATGTGTCTCAGCAGCAGCACAGAGCCTGGATCCTGTATCCTGCACCAACAAGACGCCCAGTCTGCTTTAATGCACAGCTACTGCTGATTCAGGATCTCTCTCCTAAGAAATCGTACAAACAACCTTTGACTACTTGAATCATCTCTGACCAGAATGGCATCAAGAAGAAAAACATTTTTCAGGTCAGGAAGTACATGAAAGATGCAGATGCAGCGACACAGACACGCCTGGAAGAAGAAGCCCTCCAACTGAACCTAATCAATGTCATGTAGTTCATTAGAAGATGGAAAGAAAATGTAGTAAGCATTACTGATGGAAAGCTGTTTAAGATTTATTTACGTCTTGTCTTGTGTGTTTGTCTTTAAAAAGCCTAAATTATTAAACTGGTCTTAGTAGGGTCAGGCCAACCTGAAAACAACAATGTTTTTGTTCTCTTGCTAAACTTTCTCTGTTTTGTGAGTCAATTGTGATACTTTTCTTTCTTTCTGCAGGCATGCTATGTGTTTCATTGTGTGTTTAGCTTTACTGTACCTGTCACTAAAATGCAGACAGGGCCTTGGATAGAAAGGTACTGGAATAAAAACGCTTGATTGTTTGTCTATTTAAGTGTCTGGACTTTGTCTTTTTTAGTTTGTCACTATGTACATTCACTGTATATAAGAGACAACAAAACAGAATGGAGGTAAGAGTGAGGTGTGGATGCATGATGTCATTTTGGCTCCACGCCTGCAAATTCTACACAAGTAATTAGGTTCCAGTCTGACTAGAGTCAAGATGCAAATCAACACCCATTTCGATGCAATAATACATTTGATAAGAGCATTATAAAAGGTATAAAAGTAAAAATGTAATTCCTACAAGGCTCTTGTGATATCACAAAACATTCAAATACTATTAAACATAATTATAGACAGACAGTTGTTTTGGTTGGCCAAAACTAGCTGTATGAAGACATTCCCTCAGGCTCTATGAAGATAAATATTTTTCACACACTTTATAGACGAATAACAGTAACACAAATTAGTTTTGTAGCAATATGAATTAAAGACAGTACTTTATAAAACACTGAGACAATAATAAGAAGCTTTTCATGACTACAGTTTATTTGTAGTTCACTTATCTGACATCAAAAGGGATATATTGAAAACAACAGCTACTCAGTATCCCTTTTGAGAATAATATAACTTAGATTTAAATTGTTGGAATATCAATGCAAAACATTGATGTATGTATGCGTTTTGTACTAAAACACAGAAAACAATAAAAGATAATTACTAATAATATATCATTGAGTCCATCAGACACTATTTAGTTCATAGAAAGGATATTCTTTGAAATACTACAATACATTTTAAGCAAACTTTTCTCTATGAGACGTCACACAGGCTTCAGATCCTGGGGTTTTCTATCTGAGAGGTCACAAAATGACACAAATGTAATAAAGAGATAAGAATGAAACACTTATATTAATGTTACACGAAATAAACCAAATGTTTTTAGAATTGTTTTTTTGGTAAGTGCTTTTACATTTTAAGTGAGTATTGGGTACATTATTCATGTCCTCATGGCTCATGAACATTTCTACATTTTAAGGAAGGTCAAAAAAGGATAGAAACTACTGACTTAGATCATCCCTCAGTATGATACACAACAGATTACTTAAAATGTCAATCATAAAAAGGAAAAACATGACACCAGTGTGGATGAATCCTCGTCACTGGCAGAGCAACATTTAAACACTAAATCAGAGGGATGTAATTTACATGAGCAACTGAACCTCTCATCAGGTGAGTTAAAGGACCTCTCAGCTCTCTGGTGCACATGAGTGTACATCCCTAAACTTTCTGATCGCTGTATGAGACCGTGATTCTATGACTGCACATCACATCCATAAGCACGCACTGTACTGTGTAGGCTGATGGCTGGTGATGGGGGAGGAGTCCTTGCTCTGCTCCCAATGCCCTTGTCCCATTCAGACACACAACCTCACTGTGATGGAGGAGGAAACCTGCTATGAGGTCTGGTGTTACAGACAATATTAACCCACTAGTCTCATTGTTTATCATTTACAGCTGTATCGATCAGTACAAACAGGAATCAAGCAGGTGTATCAACCTGTTAAACAAAGGTTTAAAAGAGATCCTGCATAAATGCCACATCAAAATATGAAATTTGGAGGAATAATACAACAAAGTGCATCCAGGAAAATGCAAAGCAACACATTCAACATGAAATGAATACTGTTGGTCTACAAAAAGTGTGTGCAATGGCGGGGTATGTGAAGGTGAACATGCACCTGCCTCCGTTTCCTCCTTGGCACTTCTAGAAATATGTCCATTTGCCTGCATTACTGTTCATCTAAATTAGGTCCCAGAAAAAAATGTACATCCCCCACTGTGGAGACATATTAAAAGAAGAAGAATATGGTAGCATGCAAGGACTGGCTCTTGCAGATTATGCTGTAAATAGAGGGTGTCGTGATGTATACCTGCAAACAGTGATGAGGTTTTTCCGCTCCAAACCGACGCTCCGAGCAGACGCCTTTTTCGATGTCAGACCCATAGCCATTGCTGTGTGAATGCAGCCCGACTCCATCCAGCGGCGGCCCCGGGGCCTCTTCGGGATCCGTGCCCAGGCCAGGACCCCTCTCTCCGCGGGCCCAGTGTCCTACAAACACCCGCTGTCCTTTGCGGGGAGCCACGGATGCTGCAGCTGGAGGAGGAAGACGGGAGAGCGACGAGCAACGTGAAGGGAGAGGTGATCAAATGTACCAATTCCGGTCAAAACTTTCAAAATAAAATCGGCCTCAGGTTCTACTGTGCTGATTGTCATTGTGATACCTTTATTCCTATCTCTATTTCCGGTTGTATTCAGCGAGTGTCACGCACTTGGCACAGATGAGGAAAATGATGCCTTCAAGTACTTTTTGTACTTGTGGTGAATGTTTTCCCATTCTATTGTGCATTATGTGTGTTTCATTCAAGCAAAAGCTACACAAAAACAAGTATTAAGATTTTTTATTTTTTTTAAACAGGCTATATGAGAATGGAGTCGATTTTCAAGACGGTGTGCGTTCTTTGACAACAGAACAGTACATTTAGACTACATTTTGTTTAATGTATTCGTATTTTTTTTAAAGCTTTTGGGTTTAGAATAAATATATTATGACTAGTTAGTAATTATCCTCCTTACCAGCAGAAGGCCACTGTCCAAAGGATCCGAGACACCAGAGGGCGCTGTGGTCACGGAGGTTATTTATTTATGTAGGCAGTGAAGGGAAGATGGCGGAGTCTGAAGAGCCAAAAGCGGGTCCTTGCTCTTTTCTCTTCAAAAAATCTACCAAGAAGTTCTCCGGGCGAAAAAGAAAAGCGAGCGACAGCGACAAAGGTATTAATTCATCAATAAGATAGTTTGAGAGTTTTTTTTAGGATGCAAATCTCGTGTTTTAATTTCGCTTTGGCTTTGTGAACCATTCTGAAATGTAAACACGTTAGCTCAACGTTAAATGGCGAGATGTTTTGTGTGAAGGCATTCCTGTCTTTGATAATAAAACTTACATTTACCTGGAAAGAGACAAACTATTCGAAAGATGGGAGCAACCCTGCACACTGCGGGAAGTTTGGGAACATTTTGTAGCTTTAAAAAACAGTTTTTCATTTGAGCTGCGTTCACGCTTCCTCGGAATCTTTAGGATTATGACATGTTTGCACCGAATGCGTTTTGCGGCTTGATAGCTGAATAATACAGACATTGGCAGAGATGTATTCACAAGATTAACCTAAGTTAAGTTACCAATCCCAAACTGTGAAAATGCCCCAGCTACTTGAACAACAAAAGTTTAACTAAACGAAACTTTGTTTCAGATGGCAGCAGTGATGAGGACAAGTGCTCTGTCGTCAGAAGGGGAAAGAAAGACACTCGAGTCAATCCCATGATTCAAAAGGTACAATCATAATAACAGTAATCATATATTATTTTAATATATTTTGAGTTTAATAACCTAGCCCTGGTCTTTTCCCTCTCTAGTCAAAGAAGGTGGAGAAAGATAAAGAATCGTCCAGTGAAAATGAAGAAGAAAAAGAAACAAAGAAGATCACTGTTGCATACAAGTCCACACGGTCAGCAGTGAGTTGAGACTTTTGTTCTTAATGTATTTTGTATTAGAAGCAGTAACCATAAAGTGAAGGAGAAGCATATTTCTCCTGTAAAAACCATTGTTACAGTGCCAATGAGCAAGGATAGTAACCTCCTAGCTGCTGCAGTGGAGCAACAGCCTTGTTCTCCATCTCCATCCATGTGTGTCTGTGCTCTGATTGTTTTTCTGCATTCACTGTCTGGTGTTGTGAAGCCACAATCTGTTCATGCAGGCATCTTTCTCACGCTTTGCTTTTCTCCCGATCTCCCCCAAAAAAGAAACCAGAGGGACCTGATGACAGGGGTGCAACTGCTACTTATGAGATGGACACAGAGAAGGACAACGACGCTCAGGCGATCTTTGAGAGGAGTCAGAAAATCCAGGAGGTACAGAACATTACATGATGTTGTTCTTCATGGCACAATTAAGCAAGAAGCTACCATTTTATATAAATAACATAAACATAAACAATGTTTTTTCTTTTTTAAATATACAGTTTTGGGCATAGTGTGAAAAAATATGGCTCAATTGATTTTAAAATGATGTATACTTGCACCTCATTCCACTCAATAATGTAATGGGTTCTTCCTTGGCCTAAGCTACACCTTTCCAACACTTTTCATGAAAATGTTGGCACGTTGACAGTTTCATGTAATCCTGCAGACAAAACATAATCAATTTATTAGATGTAGTAATGAAGTTTCCTATTAACCGAGCAATCCTTTTTTCTCCTTCAACAGGAGCTAGAAGGCAAAGAAGACGATAAAATCTACCGCGGTATTAACAATTACCAAAAATTCATCAAGCCGAAAGATACCACCATGGGCAACGCCTCCTCTGGAATGGTCAGGTGAGAACTATGGCGAGACATATTAAGCACAAGCTTTCAAAATAAACGCTTCATCTGTCAATGCTAAAATGTAGTATTAGTGATACATATATTTTATCAACAGGAAAGGACCAATCCGAGCCCCTGACCACCTGAGAGCCACAGTACGGTGGGACTACCAGCCGGACATCTGCAAAGACTATAAGGAGACGGGGTTCTGTGGCTTTGGAGGTGTGTACGAGTGTTGTACCATTTTAAAATATCGAAGTCGTCTGTTGAATAATCGTAACTCTTTAACATCAAGATCATTCACTTTAGTGTTCTTCATCTTCTCCTCTCCTGATATCAGACAGCTGCAAGTTCCTCCACGACAGATCGGACTACAAACATGGCTGGCAGATTGAGCGGGAACTGGAAGAGGGCAGATATGGAGCAAACGGTAAGTTCAGGAACAGGATATCATGAGGGTTTTTTTTTTGTGCCTGCATCAGCCTTTCCTGAACAACGCTGTGCTTTCATTTAGATGAGGAGAACTACGAAGTGAGCAGTGATGATGAAGATTTGCCCTTTAAGTGCTTCATCTGCAGGGAGTCCTTCAAAAATCCCATCATCACGAAGTGAGTTCTTCTCCCGTTTCCTCTTCACTGTTCACCACCAGTTGCAGTGAGTTAACCATTTGAATGTCTCCCAGGTGTAAGCACTACTTCTGTGAGACCTGTGCTCTTATGCATTACCGCAAGTCCAAGCGTTGCTATGTGTGCAACACTCAAACCAACGGTGTCTTCAACCCTGCTAAGGGTAAGTCGGGCTTTACAGAATGTCTTTTTTTAACACTTGAAGATGTCTGTCATATTTAATGACATCATTACCACAAAAAATATTGTTTTGTTATATCAATGTAATTTATGGTTAGATTTCGGATAGACCAAATGGTCAATACAGCTACGTGCCCCATTGTTGTGTTAAGCAAACGGGAGAATATATATATTTTGTTTACTGCAGTGACATTTTTGTTTTTTAAAGCTAAATCTTCAACACAAATTAATCGAAACGGAACATTTTGTTGGATAAAAATTGTGAATTTTGACATATCTTTTTTTACTGTGTGTCTTTACAAGGCTCTATAGTTATTAAGAAAGGTTTTGATTTCACAAGCCAAGGCAATTCTTTACAGCCGCCACTGAAATCAACTTTTACAAATATTACAATATTAGTGTAACGTAATCTTAAAACTATTATTTTCCTGTTATTTCAGAGTTGATGTCCAAGATGGAGAAACGCAAAGCCGCAGAAGACCAGCCGCCACCATCAGATGAGGAGGATTAGCAGCATCTGAACCTTTTCAACCCTCCCCTTATGTGTTTGTCCGTGTACATTTGGAATAAAATTACTTTTTCTTTTTAGACAATAAGCTGCTTCACTGTGTGATACCATCAAATTAAAAACTTTAAAGCGAACAAAGTTTATTGTTAAGTCAAGATTGACATTTGCAACACTTTCCCCTCATTTTCAAATGTACATGCAGACAAAACAAGCACCAATGTAACATTCACTTCTGACACAAGTCACATAACACCCAGAGTAAGTTCAAGGAAATACATACTTCTATGCTTGGAGGATTAAACTAAACGGATGTACTGCTTAACCTCTGCAACAAAAGTAATGTGTAAAGCATGAGATGTAGTTTACACTGTAACACAAGCAGAGAGCTAAGAAATGTGTATACATGCTGTTGAATTATTTGACCATCGGGACAAAGTTGCAACCTTCCATCTGCTGTACAGAGGGTGGTGGTCTCACTGAGCAGATGGGCCATGTTCAGAGAGGTAGAGTCTCCCCTGAATACTTAGCAGCAGCTTCCCACCGATCCATTGGAGAATCTTTAGGTCTCGGCTACATCTACAACCAAAGATCCTCTTCCCAAACCTCAGCAGCAGCATGAGGAACAGAGGAATCCTGTTGTTTTCATAGGTTGTTATGTGTGAAATATATAGAGGCCATCAGTGCAGTGCAAGAGTGTGCATAATTAGATAACAAAAGCATGTGAGAGACTTCAAAAAGAGGCAAGACAGCTGCTGGCTTTTAACCTCTGTCTGAGAACAGCAACCCCTTTTAGTTTTAAGATTTAAATTATTTACAAGGTGACCATTACAAAAACAAATCCTGTCCAATATGCTCAGAGAGTTTTCCATCAGTTTCCCATGCGCGTCTCCCCGCTTTGTCTGCCACTGTCAGAAGTCCCAGTCGTCCACCTCCAGGTGGCTGAGGCCCGACTCCAGACTGGCCAGTCCAGAGTGAGAGTCCTGCGGCTGGGTGCCCTCGAAGTTAGTGATGGGCGTCACGGGCCGCAACAACTCAGGCAGCGCCTCCGAAGGCCGCCGTTTAATCTTAGAGGGGTAAAAAAGATTGAAGAAATTCTATAAATACACATTTTCTATGGACATTATTTGTGTTGATGGAGCAACTATTATGTTAGAATAGCCCGATAAGTGTCAAGATCACCCATTCTAACAAGTAGGATTTCTAGTGGTGGTAATGTCAGGATGAACCTGGTATTTAACACACCTGTTTGAAGAAGGGATGGCCTGTGAGAGTGGTGGCAGACGGTCTGAAAAGGAAAAGATGTGTTTTGAAAGGTGAACATACTGCGCAACAGGTCCGACATAATATTTAAGCAGGAACAAAGAGAAGGACCAACCTCTTCTCCGGGTCTCGCTGCAGACACAGTTCGACAAAGGCGTGGAAGTGCGGGGAGAACGTCCGGTTGTAGGGGTGTCCTCCTGAC